GAAATAATGAAAATTGCACAAAAGTCAGTGGCGTACATTTTTAAGTGAAAAATATTCGTTAAAATCCCGCTCGAGACGCAACTGGACTTAATGAATTGAATCTCGTTCGGGCTAAATTAGCTCCTTAATGTTATAAAAATCATTGTCGAATTACAACAAAATTAGGTAAAGGATATTTAAGATATTCACGAATAACTTTTTTTTAATTTTTATTTTAACACCCTGTATCTTGATAACAAAGGATTTGCGGACCCATGTTTATATGAACATTTCGTCTTAAAATCACCTAAAGAATCGTCTGGTAAATTTATGGTACAAACTTGATTAACAGCCTGTATATGTTAAAATAACTGTTTGGGATATTTAAAAAAAACTTCACTTATTACAGAAACACCTTCCACGTATTTGGATACTCACGTATATCATCTGATAAAATTCCATCTTTGAAGATTTTGCTACAATTTTCAGATATTCCAGATGAGTTTGTATGAAAATAAGTGTCTTCAAAGTAATGAAAATACTTATGAATAACATTTTCACCAACTGCATTTCCAAGCAATACCAATACAAACAAGAAAACTGAATTCGTTTCCATTGTTTCAAATATCAGGTATGTCGATTCTGAAAGTTTCGTTGGTCACTAATGATACTGAAAATGTCACCTCACTAACGATAATAGTAGATATAATAGCGATGGCATTGAAATATTTCTCAGGCTAATTCATAACACGTGTATCAAAAAGTACCTACTTGATTTTTCTCTCTACATTATGTTTAAAACAGCTCGAAGAAAGATATGTTTTTAATACAGTCGATAATAGATGAGAAAAAGTGATATTTGATTATGAAACTGGTAAGGAGTATTTCAAAAATAGTGATAGAACCAATGTTGTGGAATTGGCCGCGGTGGTAGTGTACCCGACTCACGATCGGAAGATCGTGGGTTCGATTCCCGCCTCGACCAAGATATTTTTCTCGAGAGAATTTATCTGGTTGAAGCTGGGATGATTCTGCAACGGTGTTAAGAATCACACGTTAAAAGGTAAGACCTTGTTAGTCCTTTGCTCGCACAAGTTTCTCAACTTCTGAGAGTTGTCGTTCGTATAGGGGCGACGGAAAAACAGATTTTAAACAGATAAAAACTTCAAGGAAATTCGAACCCGAGAAAAGGCATGTCACGCAGGTTGCTATAGCTGCACCCGTGACGAAGTTGGGAGTTAGTCCTTGTAATCACAAGGTCTTCCAACGATGACACGAAATTGCAGTTGGCCCCTGATGATGAATCCGCTTGCTTGTTTGACCCCTTTCTTGCAACCAAGTGTTGTCTATCCTTTACACTTGGCTGTACCGTACTGACGAAGGCTAAATAGCCAGAAACACGTGTCTGCGGTTTGCCCACCTTCCTATGAGTGCTTTGTCCAATAACCTTTTTTCCATCGATAATACCATGTCACTCAATATCCCTCTATCTTTTTTGATTTATCTTGGACCCGGATGTCACGCAGCGCAGGTTGCTATAGCTGCACCCGTGACGAAGTTGGGAGTTAGTCCTTGTAATCACAAGGTCTTCCAACGATGAAACGAAATCGCAGTTGGCCCCTGATGGTGGATCCGCTTGTTTGTTTTTTGACCCCTTTCTTACAACCTATACACAACCTATACACTTGCCTGTAATGTACTGAGGAAGGCTAAATAGCCAGAAACACGTGTCTGCGGTTTACCCCACACTGAGGCGTTCGGACCGCATAAAAGGACAAACAACAGGTTGACACGTTCAGTTTGAGTAGAGCCTATACGATGACAGCACGACCAGCTGTCGAAAGCGCTCGCATATAATTAAATAAAGTGGAGTCCCGATAATCCGAACTTCGGTAATCCGAAAGTCCGCTTAATCCGAAAGAAAAGTAGAAGAAATGTATTGCAATATATACATACTGAGGATTACAGTATGTACAAAGATAAGTGGAATTAACAGAACAGAACAATTTGAGCGTATTTTGCGTATTTTGAACTGTGATACAGTAATATAGAAAACAACATTTATTACTGTATGAGGAACATTTCTCACTAGTCACGCAGTTCATAAACATAATGTGTAAGTTTTAGACGGATAAAACAAAATAAACTGTGCTTATGACTATTGTATATCCCATTTTGTATAAATATACATTGTATTTCATTATAACATTAATTTTGGTCATGATTTCGCTTAATCCGAAATATNTGTTTAACTATTTTACGTACAGTTCAGAAACCAAACTGGAGATATACATTGAATATACATTGAAACATACTCTATGTGTTTCAATATCGTCATTACTATTAGTACTCGTCCAAAGACGCCACATTTTAAGCAGATAAGAAGAATTTTAAGTGATTATAACTTCACCAATATCGAATTTTAACACTCAAATCGCGATCAGTTCCTGAACTGAACACAACTGCGATAACCATTCCCGCATTCCCCGATTTATATTCGTCACGTAACATGACTTCAAATTCAATTTTGTGACTATTCAGCCAATCATAAAACTCGGTTAGTAAAAATTATCCAATACGAACCGCCAAGTCTACAGTCGACGCGGACTATTTCGCAGTCAGTTCATTCCTATGTATTGGTTTTTTTCGCCTTTGAGAATGCCGCAAACTTTAAGAGTGCATAGTATTGTTTACTTCGACTATACCATTACGGAGAAACAGAGATGAATGTGTGAAGGGAGTAACTTTCGCATTTATAAGTATAGCTATCCAGCGTGGTATTAGCCAGAGAAGTAGTTGTTTTCTGGTAGTAATTTGCCAGGACCTACTATGTAGGAAGTTGGGAGAGATGAATGTTCCGATATTTATTTTCTTATCAAAAATTTGTAGTTCAAATACATATGTAGATTACATTTACCGACGACCCATTTTGTTAAATAAATTCAACTACTATAGTCATCAACCTTGGACTTTCGGTAGGAAATGTTAATAATTTCCCGAGCACTCCTCGATATATATCTGGCATTGAGCTCAACCAATTTAAATTACTTAATAATTGTTCACATACGTGAAAGTGAGTTTTTCTTTAATGATTAGACCGGAATAGTTGGTTTTTTAATGAGGTAACATGCCACGGACGATAAAAGGTTTTGACTAGCAATTATCGAAATAATATAAAAGGATCTAAGCAAGACATTCGATCTTGTCAGCCATGAAATTATTTTAATAAAACTAGAACTGTACGGTTTCAGAGGAGTAGTACATGGTTGGTTGAAAAGCTATGTGAGAAACAAGATGCAGTATATTCAAGCAAACAATCACATTTCGCTGAAAATAATAAATGATGTAGGGGTTCCTCAGGGTTCTGTTTTAGGTCCTCTGTTATATCTGATATATGTGAATGACTTTTCTGATGAAACAGACGACACCTCCCTCATAGCTACAGGGAGTAATGTATGTGAATGAACGCTGTACATGGACTTCTCATATAAATGAAGTGTACAAAAAACTAGCTCCGAAGTTTCACTAGTTCGGACTTCCATTGGAAAAATATCTATTTGATTTTTATTCCAATTTTGTTTTGCCACTTTTGAATAGTGATAATGCGTTCCAGGTATCAATAATGAAAGACTGGTTGATGCATTGTTGGACAAAAATCAGGAAAACTAGCATACCCATGCACAAGGTTTCACCTTTTATGGGTTTTCTATTTTATTTGCTAGT